AGCAATAAAGGCATATTGGCTTCTCCTTTTTTGACCCTTGGTTATCGGGAAATGTGCAAGTTGTCAATGTTCAAAGGGGGCAGGGGATCAGCTGGAGATTCTGGCGGGGGGGCACCCCTTTTACTGTTGTTTCCCATCGCTCACAGGGGCGTCTGCCTATATGTGTGACCTTTGACCTTCCTCCTCATCCCCCCCGAATTCCCCCGTGGCCCCTGCGCCGGCCTATCAGGGCCCTGCAGCTTGGATGAGGTGCACATTAAAGTAAAATATGGCCCATCTTTCTGTCACAGCAGCCCTCCGTCTCTCGGATAATAGCCGTGATTTATGTCAGCACTGTGATAAGAAGGCGGAGCCTCGGGTGGGGGAGCGTGGAGATGTGTCTGGGGGGAGACGGACTGCAGGGCCCCCCTCTGGGAGCAGGTCCTCTCGCATCCTTTCAGAAAGCAGTGATGATGTTCTCCATCGCGGTATAACCCATCCTGGGCCAACAGAACCACACCAGTCTACCACGGCGACTCTTCCTCTTCTTACATGATAAACGATTAACATATCAATTCAGCTGGCCCATATTGACATCATATGAAAAGGCAATTATTTATTTATTTTTTTAAATGAAATACAAAAAAAAAATACTTGCAAAATTACCCATCATACCTAAGCTACGTGACTTTTCCTATAAGGACACGAGGAAGACCGTAAATGCATGCAGGGCTTCCGCTACAGATTTTGGGCCCCATGAAAGTGCATCATATTGGGTTCCTAAGCCATACCAACCCAATTATGTTCTAAATTTTTTCGGGCCCCTGTAACTCAGGAGCCCTTGGAATCACTGTCACTGTACCCCTTTACGGCACCCCGAGGGCCTGTCTATGTGCTTTCAAGAATAAATCAGCTGCTCAACCAAGAACACATTAAAAGTTTTATGACAGACTCCGTGTCACTCTGGGGACTGTCACAGCACTGTACAGGCGAACTGGCAACTCCACTGGTCACCGTGAGTGAAGAACCTTGCCAGTTAAACTTCTACTTACCCGATAAAATATTCTCAGTAACTACAATCTTATACAGTGCATTGTGAATTTCAACAGTAGAACTAAGCTGAATACGAGACACCCGGACTACAGCCCAGTTATGCCTCCACAAAGCTCCTCCCAGCTTCCGTCACACGCAGCCATCAGCCTGCGATCGTGCTGCAGGAGCCTCCTGGTCGTCTATTATCTAAGTGAGGAGTCTGAACAACCTGAATTCAATCCAAAATGACGTAATCAGAACAGCAAATGCCAAAAGCACTTAAGGCTGGTTGGGCCGTCCCACTATTTATTATACCTCCAATCCGAAATTTGCCTAAAAACAGCATAACGTTTCTCAAAGTCACATCAATAGCCACAGCCATAGTAATGGAATATAGAAGACTGAGACCTCTTCAGCGAAGACTCCTTTTGAAAGACAGAAAATGAAATTATTTGCCCTCCTCCAAATCCCTTTTTGAGAAGCAATAAAATCTCATAAGAAAAGAAAGCCAGCACAAACAACAAAATCTGACCCTAAAGTGAGGGCAAGGCTGTAACTGGTTTCACCAGCCCTTGGATTATGACGGCAAAGGGGTAAATTGCTTTGCCCACGCAGGAGAGGACGCCGGGATCGATAAGCACCTGTCCGGTGAAACAGTGCAAGGGTGACAAACGGTCCCATTGTAACTTTTCTGCGGTGCTGATTAATGGCCCATCGTTCAGGCTCGGTGAAGCACAGACTCGGCCATGTCCGCCAGCACCCGCCATCTCCTGGGCAGGAGGAAGATTTGCGAGTAGCTGCATCCCACAGAAGCATCTCCATCTACAGTTCAGAGCTCCGTCCTCTTCACTTTTCATCTACTGCCTGGTGATCGTGAGAAAGACAAGCCAATATCCACCAAACATGAGTGGCAACGTCAATAAGCAGTTTGAGCTCCTGCCAGAATCTGCGACCAGACGACCTTCATAAAAGGCATGGATTCTGCCACATCCATACTAATACCTCAAACCGAAACTAACGGAATCATAGAAATTGGAAGCGTAGCCACAGTCTGTGTCTGACCTATGCTCCTCCAATTTGTGTGCTCGTTATGCCACCCACTTCTCGTGCTGTGAGTCACGTTGATACCATGCAGGAGAACTAAGTGCTAACATCGGTGGAACGACGCAGTTGCTAAAGTTGGCAATTGGGGGCTTTTACGCACCTGGAAGGGTCAACAAAACTTCTTCATGTTGCAGTTGGCCAAGATAAACCCTTGTTACTTTCAACAACACTTACCTCGGGCGTACAAGGCCGATATGAATTACGATTAACAAACGACTTAACCCAGACGTGACCCATGAATGAAGCTCTAGTTAACAACCAGCAAATGAATGCACTCACTGATTCTGAGGGAGTCAATCTAGAGACTGAAAACGATCAAAACCAAGCATGCAAATCTTACTTTCATCCGGGTTAGGCGCAGCTAGGATGGCACTGTGCTTCCTCTTCACATCCTCCACCTTCTCAGAGAGCGCCTCGATGTACCCCCGGATCTCCTCCACCTGTAGATTGAGAATCCAACATCCAACATCTGAAGAAAGCACTATATACTGTGGGTCTGTTCTGTTCTGTCTGTTTGGACATCAATTGGTGCAACAACGTCACTTGTGACCATAGCAATGAAGCCTTCCTGAAACGGAGCTTAAGCTGCCATTCGACACAATGCAGCAATCTTCAAAAACATTCTGTAGCAAAATTTCAACCTACTTAGAACTGTGTATGTTAAGGTCTGTACCAGCCAGCAGGGGTCGATAGTCCATATTCAGACACGGCATTGTCAAGATGGCCCCCCCACGACCTCACCGCGAACCCAAAAGGTCACGGCAGCAGGGGGTGGCTGGGTTCACACATAACTAGTGCCGCTAGCTCTCAGAATTCCCCACTGCTCTCATTTCTCTAATGTCTGAGCTGAAGTCTTATTCCTACCATCTGCCTGCTTATTTTCTCCGTTACTTAGGCCTATGCTTTGAACACAAATTTGGCTTTTCATCTGGATAAAGATGCCTGACGTCAGTATCTGGACAGCCTTGTTTTTGCCTTCTTGGTGTCTTCGCCTGGATAATGAAATACATTCTGAATTGGGGTCATTATCCACGATTCCTTAGTTACTTATATGACGACACATCAATGGTAAAAGGTCCCAAGCTCTGGTCCATTTTCATTTGTTGCAATACAAAGTCTTCCTGTCTGTCAAATACGGGCTTGACTGAGGTGTAAATGGCACTAAAGGTGGGAAGAGACACCTAGAGATCAGAAGGGCTAGAGTATCAACTTAGCATCACAATGTATTAAAGCCACCGCATGAAGAGGAGAGGACACCAAAAGAGCAGGGCAGCCCCATTAAAGTCCAATAACACAGGATGACAGAATTAGCACCCGCCGCTTGAAGGCGAGCCGTCTGCCATTACGGTTCCCGAAGTAACGTCCTCTCATTCTCAGCTGCCTATTAGCTACTCAACTGTCCTGCTGATTGAATCTGCATTTCTCTAATAAACTCTTGATTGGTTTTTCTCCAATTAGTTCATTAATGCTTGAAGGCATTACTAGTGCTAAGCTCAGGGTTGGGCTTTCTGGAAAGAAATTCAGTAACCCTCTGAGACTAGTTCTTGGGAGCTGGTCCGTGAGAAACGGCATTTCAAGAGTTAGTGCCCCAACCCAGTGGGTCTTGGAAAAAAAAATAACATTCAGGAGCAAAATTCTTGAGGGGTGGGTCTCAGGAGTAAGGCAGACCATCTTGATGACCTCCTTATCTTCTGATCTACACATGGCACACCTACAGGCAGCAAAATGCTAGACCATCTGGCTACTGTCTCCATCATGTCATTGACCTCACACTACACCCAACCTCCAACAGAAGCGCCTGATGCATTACACTCTGCACCATCTCCTTGCTGGGGCTACTAGAGGGAACACCAGTTCATAGACCCCCCCCCCCCCAGCTGCCAGCCCAAACCCACGAGATTGCAGTTATCACAAATGAAATACTTCATCCATCCATGGATCCACTCCAGCTAGCGTGCATGCGGTCTCATTATATAAACATACCCTCGTTTGCTGTGTGGCTGGCAATTTTATCAAAAGGAAACACAATATTTGCCGCTCATATAGCTGAATATCTCACTGAAGCAATGCAAGCTAGACTTCGTAACACTGAGACCACAACCTGCATGTCAGCTCACTGATAAGGACGTTACAAAGGCACCTCCATGCTTGGAAAATAACTGCAGGAATCAAAATCTGTATTCTCCAAATCTTTTCATAAACATCCAATTTTTTAGGCCACATGTCCAGTTCACCACTTATATTCCAGAAATGCAAGAAGACAGAGAACCAGACATCATTCTTTTTTTTATGACACAATGGTAAGCCTTGTAATTGAAAAAAAAAGTCAATTTTGAAATAAAAGTATTTTCCGGCATTTCCATCTGAGAGACGGTTACTTTGCCTTTTTCAAGTTGAGAAGTCAGACAGCTATTCAGCCGAAAGCTGTCAGATGTGTGTCCATTTCAGGGCCAGTGGGCTTAAACACATTAAAGCGGAACGCTTCCCTTTATACGTCACTGTTAATACCCCCTCACAATGCACACGACAGTAACAAAGGCCCTTCTCTCCATAGGACCGTGGCATTAGCCACCGGCCTTGTGATGCTACTGCTCACAGTGACAACATTAGCATCTCAGCTGCCGGCTCCCCTGCTTTAGACCACAGTGCTTTCCTAATTAGAGGCCTCACTGCCTCGAGAATGTAATTGCTCTCCTGCTAAAGCTGAGAGGGATTTATTTTGGGGGGGGGGGGGTGTTCACCTTTCTCCAGAAGCTGTGTTTTGTCTTTGTGGAGAGTCAGGAATGTCACCGCCATGACAGCCGGGTGTGTGGGAGGCAGGCACGGCTCTGTGTTTGTGTTTACATCTTCTGGCACACATGTGTATGTATGTTTATTTGTTTGGGCATGTGTGTCTACGCAGATCTGCAGCTGCGTGAGCATGTGGGCAGGCGTAGGCGAGTCTGCGCAGCCATGTTACGATTCATTGTAGAATGGACTGCTGAGACCCGGGACTGAAGGGCGGTGTGGGTGGCTGGGTGCTGAGACGATGTGAGCCACGTTCTTCACGGGAGGGGTAGAGTGGGTGGGGTGTTGACCGCGGGCCCTGGTGGTGGCAGCGCGCATGCGGGCGGGGGGTGGCTAGTCTCGCGGCTGCCTGCTGGGGTGAGTGGCTGAGTGCTCAGAGACAGCAGTCAGTAGTGATGAGGGCACAATGCACACAGGTGGAAATACAATGCTGAACAAACGCCACAATGCCAAATGAACAACACCATGCTGAACAAACGCCACAATGCTGAACGAGCAGCACAATGCTGAACAAACGTCACAATGCTGAACAAATGACACAATACCAAACAAGCAAACACAATGCCGAACAAACGGCACAATGCTGAACGGGCAACACCATGCTGAACAAACGACACAATGCTGAACAAATGACACAATACCAAACAAGCAAACACAATGCTGAACAAACGTCACAATGCCGAAAGGGCAACACCATGCTGAACAAACGACACAATGCTGAACGAATGCCACAATACCAAACAAGCAAACACAATGCTGAACAAACGCCACAATGTCGAATGAGCAACACAATGCTGAACAAACACCGTGCTGAACAAACGACACAATGCTGAACAAACTACACAATACCAAAACAAGCAAACACAATGCGACCAAAATGTCATATCATGATATTTTTGGTTAGAATCACAATCCACGATATAGATTTTATTTTATTTTTTTACTTAAAAACCAATCAAATTGGAATGTACGTAGTAATGTTAATTAACCATTTAAACTCAGTGCTGTACTACACAGCAAATAATAATGTAAATATAAAATCACAACACTTCATAATAAAAAGATTTCACTTAAAGTTCATGAAAAAAGGCACAAGTTGCACTATGAAATCAAGAAGAAATGATGGGTGCCTGAAGCTGTGGGGAAATATTTTATTGTACAGTACAGTAAGTTTCTTTTTATGCAACAAAATATCACAGTACAGGTACTGTATCTATATCATCACATACGATACAGTATGCATACAGTGAAGTATAAGTTAGATGTGGACAGTGGGCCATCATACAGCTGGGAGTGCTGCCCATTCCCCTGCACCTGTTACACTAAGCAACAGTCCCGCTAACGACCCAATACGTCCGCTTTCAGGAACCTTGCAATCAGTGTATAATATTTACTATGGACCTCGGACGTAAATGCGACTGTACGTTATTCGATAGAATGCAAGT